CATCACCCTCTTGTGGGCAAGGATGCAACAACAAATATAAGTCCACACATCTTCAAAAAATAAGAAACAACTACCTCATTCCATCAAACCTAAGATTCCATCAAATAAAAGGCATTATTATTTCAAATACAACTAAGAAAGAAAAAATACTGCCAATTAAACTATGATACTATCAACTATAAGTAGCATTTCAATTTCGTAGATACTAAAATGAGTTTTAAAAATAAATGAAATGTGATATATTGATTTTCCTCTTAAGTTCTTATCAGGGTTGAAGACTAAGAATGAAAAATCTTAAACTGCAGCACAGGAAATATAGAAAATAAGAGTCAGTAACATTAGAACAATACTGAAGAACTATGAGAGTATTGTCTCATACTTTTGAGGCATTGATTTTAGATAATTTAAGAATGCAAATATATACTGTTGGATTGTAATAACTTCTAGGATTCCACCTAGCTTTAAAATTCTTTTTTCAGATTTTAATAGTTCTACACATTACTAAATTTGTCCTCAGAGTAAATGAAAACTTTACTAACATGATAAGGTTTAAGCACTTTCTGAACACTCTGAGAAACACTTCCAAACATTATCTCATATAATCCTCATAAAATCCTAGTGAAGGTGGGCTTGCAACCCAGAAATGGCTGACCCCAGGGTCCGTGCTTTTCTACTCTAGGATATCAGGCTGCCTCCTGAAACACCACCAGAGAAAACAACATGGATGGCCTCAATATACAGATTTCAGACAAGCCCATGCCACTTCATACTTACCTGGCTGAAGCCTTAAACCGCTCTAAGAACTGAAGTCTCAAGCTCTCATGGCCAGGGAGGTCAATCAAGGTTAGGTTAGCGCCCTAAGGATGGCAGCAATAACACTAAATTAATATTTCGGTCCTGATTCACTTGCACAATATAAACCTTTCATATCAAATTGCAGATACCAGAAGAGTGACCAATTAATTACTCAAAAAAATGTTCACTCATAATTAATTAATAAATCAAACAAATGTTCCCAAGTATCTTCTATGTATTTATAAATCATCAGCCAAGGAATAATGAACAAAAACAGCCATGGTCCCTGCTCTAACAGGGCTTATAATCAGAAAGATCAACACAATGTAAAATTACATGTACATAAATGTAAAATTACAACTTTGATAAATATTCTGAGGGTACATGAGAAACCTGACCCTGTCTGGGGGAGTCAAGAAAGTGTGGTCCATTTGAGGCCGGGAAAATATACCAGTGTGAATAAAAGCAAAAACATGTGAAAAACCGTAATAAATAAAAAAGAATATCTACAAAACACATATAGCTGATGTTGTATTTAACAGTGAGAAATTTGAAGTTTTCCCTCTAAGACAAGGAACAAACCAAGGATGTCCCCTTTCACCACTGCTTTTGGAACACTGTACTGCAATTCCTAGCTAATCCATTACGATAAAAAAAGGAAATAAAACACATACAGATTAAGAAGGAAGAAATAATAATGTTTTTGTTGGCACATGAAATAGTCATCTATGTAGAAAATCTGAAATACATTGACAAAAAACTCAGGAACTAACAAGCAATTATAGCAGTGTTGCAGGATACAAGGTTAATACACAAAGTCACTTGCTTTCTCAAATATCAAGAATGAATACTGGAATCTGATATTACAAACACAATACCATTTATATTAGTATCCAAAAAAATGAAACTTTGGTATGAATCTAAGAAAATATGTACAAGCTCTATGTGAGGAAAATTACAAAACTCTGATCAACAAAATCAAAGTAGAACTAGGTAAATAGAGAGATACTCCACGTTCACAGATAGAAAGACTAAATAGTGTGTACATGTTGGTTCTTCCCAACTTGATCTACAGATTCAATGCAATCCCAATCAAAATTTCAGCCATTTATTTTGTGGATATTGGCAAATGGATTCTAAAGTTTACATAAAGAGGCAAAAGATCCAGAATAGCCAACACAATATTGAAGAAGAACAACGTTGGAAGACTGACACTGTCTAATCAAGACAGTGTGGTATTAATGAAAGAACAGGTCCATAGAACAGAATAGTCCAGATAGAGGCCCCCACAGTCAAGTGATCTTTGACAAAAGAACAAAGGCAATACAATGGAAGAAAAAATAGTCTTTTCAACAAGTGGTGCTGGAATAGGTAGATATCTACATGCAAGAAAATGAATCTAGATACAGACCTTACACCTTTTTTCACAACTCAAAATTGATCACATACCTAAATGTAAACCTCAAAATTATAAAAACTAGGAAGTAACACAGGAGAAAATCTAGATGATCTTAAGCAATGAGTTTTAGATACAACACCAAAAACACAATCATGAAAAGACTCAATAAACTGGACTTCATTAAAGATAGAAATGTCTGCTCTACAAAAATCACCTGTTAAGAGAATAAGAAGACAAGCCACAGACTGGGAGGCAGTATTTGCAAAAGTTATATCTGATAAAGGACTGTTATCCAAAATATATAAAGAGCTCTTAAAACTTAGCGCTACAAAAATAAACAACACAATTAAAATATGGGTCAAGATCTTTACGGACACCTTAAACAAAATAGATGGCAATTAAGAATATGAAAAGATGCTCCACTCATGTCATCAGGGAAATGCAAATTAGAACAATCAGATACCATTACATACCTATTAGAATAGCTAAAATCCACAACACTGACCACTAAACGCTTGTGAGAATGCNAAAAGATGCTCCACTCATGTCATCAGGGAAATGCAAATTAGAACAATCAGATACCATTACATACCTATTAGAATAGCTAAAATCCACAACACTGACCACTAAACGCTTGTGAGAATGCAGAGCAACAGGAACTCTCCACATTCATTACTAGCATGAATACAAAATGGTACAGCCATTTTGGATGACAGCTTGGCAACTTCTCACAAAACTAAACGTACTTTTACCATATGATTCCACAATGGTGCTCCTTGATATTTACCCAAAATCTATGTCCATACAAAAACCCGCATGTGGATGTTTACAGCAGTTTTATTTAGAACTGCAAAAACTTGGAAGCAACCAAGATGTCCTTCAGCAGGTGAATGAATAAACTGTGGTACCTCCAGACAATGCCACATTGGCAGTAAAAAGAAATGAGCTATCAGGCAATGAAAAGATATGGAAGAAACTTGAATGCATATTAGTATGGGAAAGAAGCCAACCTGAAAAGGCTATATATTATATGATTCCAACTATGACATTCTGGAAAAAGAAAAACTATGGAGACAGTAAAACTATGAGTGCTTGTCAGGGGTTAGAGGTGAGAGAGGGACGAATTGGCAGAGGACAGGATTTTTAGGGCAGTGAAACTACTCTGTATGATACTATAATGGTGAATACATGTCATTATACATTTGTTCAAATTTGTAGAATGTATAAAACCAAGAGTAAATCCTAATGTAAAACCGAGATTCTGAGTGATTATGATGCATCAATTTAGGTTCATCAATTATACAAATGAACAGATTTGGTGGAGAATGTTGACAATAGGGGAGGCTATGCATGTGTG